AAGCTGATGGGTGAATAATATTAAGAAAAGAAGTGAATATTATTAAGATAAGTGACTATTATTAAGAAGATGGATGAATACTATAAAGGAGATGAGTGAATGTTAAGACTATGAGTAACTTATACGAAGGTTGAGGCAGCGAGACAACATTACTTCTGATATGTGACCCTGAAATCACTGTGTCGTTGTGTGAGGCAGCCCCCCCCCCCCCGGGAGTATACAGTAGATCACCTCAATGGATGTGTTGGTGATGGAGGGTCGTCTGGTTCAAGTGTGGGTCATTCTAACATGCAAAACAGCAATTCCCAAATTAGTGGTTGGAGGGAGAGCCTCGACCTCCTCCCGTGAAGATATTAATACAATATTGCCAGTTGGTGTCATTCTGGTGAAACTTTTAATGGGTTTTGCATAATAATCTGCATGTATGTATATATTACACATTAATTTCACCTGTGTTGACCTGAGCTGATTTATTCTTACTACTTGTTTAATCATGCTACAGTGTTAGTGCCACCTCCATGTTGGTGTTATAAAATTCTATCAATCTAGAGTGTCCATTTTCCTTTAATAAACTCTGCACTTCTGGATGTCTCGCTACATTTTAAGTCGACGTTTTAGGTTTTAGATAAAACAGATTAAAATTTTGGGTGATTATGGCTTGTGCAGCCAATCGCTGATCTAAAATTTGCTGTTCAGTGTTTATTAACTTGACCACCAAAACTTAGTGTGGAGAACATTGACCAAAGTTCATCTAGATTAAGTATCTTGCTTAGTACTTAAAAACAAATGAAAGACCATTTTGTTGAGACCAGCTAGTGATGGTGAACTGAGGATGTTCAAGTTCCAGCTGCAGAAACAAGGAAAGGATGAGTAAGACAGTCCTTTATTGGGAAGCGAAGGAGAGTCCAAGTGTTGGGAACAGTTTTCAGTGTTTTTACGAGAGACAACAAACGACGGAAACATTTGTACACGTATGAGTGGTAGACCTTCACGGTGAAGCTTATACGGAAGGAAAGTCTTCGAGGTATTGAGAGTGTGTATGTATTCACCATCATCTCTGTGACTTGTGGAGCGAGGAGCGGCGAAAAACAATGGATGGCGGTATACTATGATAGGGTGTACTCAGACAATGATTAACACATACTCTACCCGGTGCTTGTTTTATATTATATGTGGTGGTGGTGGTGGTAGCAAGTTTATTTCACCATTGATTTTATTTACAGATGTTATTTATTTATTTTTATTTTTTTTTGTATTTGTAATTTTTTTTATTTTTATTTTTTAATTCCACGTTTACAAGTTTCTGGCATATCCGAGGATTGAACCTGATCAAAAACTCACAAGTCCCTGGTATTAGTACGATTAGTACCAGACGTCGGGCGTGGTACTGCACATGTGGTGTGTGGGAGCCTAACGTGGCCTACAGTATATGGGACCATCCTGCTGCTGGCGGGACACCAGCCTTCAGTGTCGCGGGTCATTCACTTCTCTCTACCTCACATGTAAAAGTTAGTTCTGTACTGAAACTTATATTTGATCACCTGAAGATTTGACCCCCTCTTTATTTCACCTGATGATTAAACACACTAACGCTACCTAGGGGTTAGGTTAGGTTAGCGTTGTTAATTTTAAAGTGAAATAAACTGGGGGGACTAATTTTCAGATGATTCCTTTGTTGTTTATTGAAGAAAGTTGGTCAAATTCTCTCACATCACGGCGGAGACTACCTCATGTGTGCCAGGTGCAGGTCACTGGTGCCGTGGGCTGTGTCATTACTAGAGGTTGGAGTGTTTGTGTGGGTGGTTGTTGAGCTGTCACTCGTGACCTTTTATGGCGGAAAAACACACAAAAAAGCTGAACCCCAAGTGCGTTGTACACAGTTACCAGTCCGGTGCTTTATTAATAATTCCACGTTATTCTGCTGTTGTGAAAATAGTCCTATATACAATGGCTTTTCATGTACACAGTACACAAATATACATAGATATTTATAGAGGGATGTATTATTTTAAAGTTAAATATGAGGAAGTGAGACGATCTTATGAAAGTTAAGTCGTCACTTATCTCGAGGAGTAAATTTCTGAGTAAAAATTAATCCCAGTCCCCCACTCTACCCCCCCTCCCCCACCCTCCGCCCTCCTCTCCTGCATTTACCAGAGTCTCTTGAGTCATTAACAACCCTATTAACCCCTCCTTCTCTCACCTCCCCACACAACCACGCATCATCTCTCTCTTCCCCCACACTCCCTCCCACACATCATCTCTCTCTCTCTCCCAACACACCTCCCCTCCCACATCATCTCTCTCTCTCTCCCCCCTCCCTCCCCACATCTCTCTCCCCACACACCCTCCCTTCCACCACACATCACCTCTCCCCCACAACACCCCATTGATCACTATAAGGTCTTAATTGAAATCTTGCGACTATGAAAACGAAATCAGGTGTAAGTGTCCATAGAGTTTTATGTGCCGCCGTAAACCCCGCAGTAAGATAGAGTGATAAGAAAGGTGGTAGTCTCGGTACAGGCTTCTCAGAATTTAATATCCCACTGAAAATGATCCTAGCTGCTTTACTTCACAGAAAACGGACTCTGAATCTTGAGGAACGTAACAGCGACACTACTTGAGAATCACACCTAGATAACCATTACTTCTCTATTATTATTATTATTATTATTATTATTATTATTTATTATTTATTATTATTATTACTGTTATTATTATTGTTGATCTTTTTGTTAGTGTCGTTGGTAATAGGCTTCGTTTCGTTTAGTTCTTAGAAAAGATTAGATTCTGTTACTGTGCCCAGAACTGTATTACCAAATGGCCAGTTAACGTAGATCCTGGGGCTTATTGTGAGTCTTGTACCGTTAGGATCAGAGCTCAGGTTACCAAAGCTTCCTACAGTGAAGTGTAGTTATAAGAATGCATTAACTGATTGACTCGAGCTAAAACACAGTTTGAACGTATAGAAATAGCCTTAAGAATACACTGAGACTAAACTTGAACACTATACCATCACCACCAACACGATACTGTGAGGTTATCGTCGATGTATACTGAGTGAGCTGCTATGGACAACAGGACCTTTACATTATTGTGGGGTCGCTTTGTCTTCTCCTACACTGCCATTATTAAAACTTTCTGAGGAAAACTGTGTGTGTGTGTGTGTGTGTGTGGGTGTGTGGGTGTGTGTGTGTGTGTATGTGTGTGTGGGTGGGTGTCTCGAGTACTGTGACAGAACTCAAGGTAGATCACACACTGGCGATGCACTGTACACTCACTGCATTATTCACACTTAATGTCCAAGATCTTGATGGTTATGTGTGGAAATTCACTAGTGCTAAATTTTACCCATGTTATATTGCTCTGGACACAAGTACTCCTTCACTGATAATTATATGGAGAAAAAAAATATATTGGAAAAAAAGAAGAAGAAACTTTACGACATAACCCGAATACCAACAGATATATTATTTGAAATATACTCAATTGTGTGAACTTGACTGTGGTGAAAGGTAAAAATCATGTTGCAAAATTACGCCATTTCTTTTTTATCTCCTGCAATTCCTTTAAGTTTAGTACAGCCATTTAGAGATCTACGGTAGCTCCCACCATTATGACCAAACAAATGTGGAATATCTTACGCTTTTGTTATTGTTGCCAGCAGATTCAAAGATCGTAAATAATGGAGGTTGGTGGGAGGAGACATATTGTATCTGCCCACATAATGTTGCCTTTTGTAGCTATATTGATTTCTTCTTCTTTTTTACGTACAATACATGGGCTGGGTTCTCTGTCACCACTGAACGAATAACGAGTATTTGTGAATCACTGGATCGAACTAGGGACGGATTTACCAAGATATAGAACATCACGTTAACTCTATAACCACGACAACACTATCACCATCACAACACTATAACCACGACAACACTATCACCATCACAACACTTTCACCACGACAACACTGTCACCATCACAACATTATCATCGTCATAGCAATATCACCATCACAACCCTTTCACAACATTATCTTAATAGCAACACTTGCAACACTATAACCATTACAACACTACCACCATCGTCGCACTATCGCCCATCACATCATTGTCACCGTCACATCACTTTCACAACACTATCACTATCACAACCATTATCACCACCAAAACACTTCCATCATCACAGCATTATCACTATCAGAACACTGTTACAACACTACCACCAGCGCATTACCGCAATACTATCACCTTCAAAACACTGTCACAACAATATCACCATCACAACACTGTTACAACACTACCACCATCACACCACTCACTATCACAATACTACCACCATTACACCACCACCATCATTACACTCACTATCACAACACTACCACCATTACATCACTAGCACCGTCACAACTCCTTTAGATCCACACATCATCACAACACTACAGCCCATCATTACCATAGAGCTACAGTCCACTACTGCTACAATACTACCACAACAACCCCGCACTACCTCTGTACTACAACCTTCCGCCACTTCTTTTAATGTGCACTACAAGCCACCATTACTACTACTACTACAACATTACTACCCTTCCCAATGTAATACTCCACTACAACCCACAACCACAACCTAAAACTATAACTTAAGATTTACAATACTGATATTATTTTTTTAGCCCTAAGCTTTTAAATAACTCTAGTATTAATAACTATCTCCTTGCCTGTATCACCGTTAACTCTCTCATGTCTTACACGCACTCCATGTCAAGACGTTTATGATAAGCGAACATTATTATCCTGCCTTCAAGAGTGACACACTTCAATGGTGCAAAGAGTCTCCACCTCCACTTGTGGTATTATGCTTTACTTAACCTTCCTCGGTGGTACTTATCTTGACGTCTACTTCAGTACTTAACGCCCAAACTTGGTCTCAATCCCTGCCTCCCACCCACCCACAGTTAGGTAACTAACGTGAATGAACAGCCCGGTAGTAACACTTACCTTTGAAGAAGTTGGTTGTGTGGAGAGAGAGGTAGGTTGTTGAGGGAGGCTGGCTCGACGCGTGGAGACGAGGGCACAGGGAGCGCGAGGATGGACCGACCAAGCGGTGTGGAGGTTGGCGAGCGTTTGCGGGATCGGGTGAGATGGCCGGGGTTGGCAGACAGACAGGCAGGCAGGGGGTATAGCGAGCGGTTCAGACGTTCTTGTGGCACCAGACTCTACTGACGGCGGGACCTGGCTGTTACGGTGTTACGTCTTCCATGTTGAGGCTCCACCGCGCCTCTTATACTCCTCCAGCTCCACCCATACCCGCGCTCCGCCACCATTCCCACTCGGTTTCGTTCTTTTCTGGTTTGTTTAGTTTCGACGATGAGAGTTCGGGCTGATCCCTCACTTATGTTCTAAAATGCTGTAGGTAAAGCCTTTATTATACCACCTCTTGTGCCTATATCGCTGAAGGGTTTAAGGTAGATTATTATCGATTATTTCTTGTAAATTAAAACTAAAAGGTGTTTTAGAGTTCCGTCTATGACCTGTTTGCGTCATCTCACATAAGAATGAAAAGACCAATAGGCAGCGACGTTGCTCATGACGTCATTCCCTAGGCGGCCGGATGACCAATCCGCTATCGCGTTTGAATGTTTCGTCATAAGATGCTTGGCGATAACCAATAGTGTTGTGGAGAACAGTGATGAGCATAGAACGATATGGACGATGGCACATGGGCGTGTGGGCGTGGGTGGAGGGCGTGGGAGAAGCGAGGAGGATTTAGACTAAAGGCTTAATAAAATAAGTCCCCCTCTTGTGCTAAAACTAAAACATTTATGGGTTTGTGAAACAGGTTGTTGTGCATTCATATATAAAAAAGCTGCACAATTTCCATCTCACGTAAAGGCAGCTGCATAAACTCAGTCTTCGGGAATCCTGTGAATATTATGTAACGTGTGGAAAATGTTCTCAAGGTTAGTGGAGAGGTGTAATGGCTAATTAATTTGGTGCTGGAGGGTAGAGACGGCCGAGAAACACAATGCTGGAAATATCTATTGGAAAGCATAAGCCACATTGTGCTGGAAGAAATGTCAGTATACTTTTTTTCATATAATAATATTTTTTTTTGTATATAGGCGCAGTAGAGGAGCTGTTTTTCCATTGTTTTATTTCTACTTCAAAATATTTCACCGTCTTAAAGTGAACCTCGTAACAATGAACCTTTGTAGTTATTATGTAGGTACAGAAGTTGGTTCTCTTGTGGGAGTAATGTAGGGGAAGAAGTCTCATTACCTCAAGGGTGTGAGAGAAGGAGTAGGCGTAGAAGGAGTTAGAGTAGGAGGAGAGGATGATACTGAGGTGAATGAGTGCACAATTAGGCCCCTAAGGTTATTATGAGCTCTGGTCCTGATGGCTTAAATTGGGCCGCCATAAAGGACTATAGCTTATTTGACCCGCAGTCCATGTGAGTAATAGGATTAGCAACCAGGAGTGACAGGTTATGTAATGCTTCAAGACACAGTGACCAGCCAGGACCCGGGACATGAAGCATATGGGGAGGACACCCTTGGTATAGAACTCAGCTGTTTATTGCGAGGAAAAATAAATACGAAAGAACTTAAGATTTGAGGTAAAGGTGTGTGTGTATCTGCGTGTGTGTGTGTATCTGCGTGCATTCGTGCGTGAGACAGACAGACAGACAGGCAGGTAGGAGACAGAATAATGGAAATGAGTTACGTTAAAGAGCTATATTGGATATTTCAGTCAAAGACATTGTTTGTGAGGAAATGGTCGAAGAAAAAGGTAAAGCGTAAAAGTGAAAGAACAAAAATAGGAAAATGGCGATAAAGACAGTCGAAAAGGGAGGAAGGAAGGAAAGAAGTGGGGGAGGGAGGGAGATGTTAGTCAGGAAACACAGGAGTAAATAAGTGTATATAGATAGTGGTAAGTTATTGAGAAAGAGGAAGAGGAGTTATTGAGGAAAGAGAGGAGGAGGAGGAGGAGGGGAAGTGCTTGAGGAGATGGAGGGTGGGGAAAACACAAGATTAAATGGAAATATAGTAAAAGGAGAATCAAGAAAAGTAGATAAAAGAGTATCAGAAGAAGGTAGAAAGATAAACAAAATATGTAAAAAAGAAAAAAATAGAGAATCAAAAGGAATAGAAAGATAAACAAAAGAAGAAACAATCAAGATAATCAGAAGATAAAGATAAGATAACCGATAAGATAGATAAAATAATCGATAACGTATAGAGAATCATTAATTATGATAGACAATTAATTTTACAAGGGTTGTTTTGGAAGGTTGTAAAGAATAATTTCATAAAAAATATTTCAAGAAAATGTCTCCTTTGGGGAATTAATTATTTCTCAAGGTTTTATTAGAATTAGGTACAGTGGTGTTGTCAGAAGTACATTGGTGTTGTCAGAAGTACATTGGTGTTATATCACTGGCACCATCTACTATATCACTGGCACCATCTACTATGTCAGAGAAATACTTGATATGACCAGAAAAAGAAAACTGAGATGCCTTGGTCACATAATTAGGGATGGGGAGATGATAACAGATATTAATGGGCAAAGTTGAGGGCCAGGGAAGGCAGCGGTGAGGTTAGGCTAGGTTACTATAGCAAAAAAAAGGCGATAAAGTGACGTCATACAGGCTGTGTTGTTGACTTATTTCGAGAACTATACAAGGCGGTGCAGTGGCGTCATACAGGCTGTGTTGTTGACTTATTTCGAGAACTATACAAGGCGGTGCAGTGACGTCATACAGGGTGTGTGTTCTTAACTTATTTCGAGAACTAAACAAGGCGGCACGGGACGCTTAACACAGAGGACTATTGAGCGTGAATGTGTGTGAAGGAGTTGGATTAATTTGTTAAGTGGTGAGGTGGGAGTGTTGTCATTAGTGGGAAAGGAAAATAATGACAATAGTTATAATAATAATAATAATAATAATGGCTAGGTGTAACAAAAGGTATCATTAATAATAGTAACAGATGGACTGATAATAATAATAATGATGATGATAATAATAATGAAATTAACAATAATGGTTCAAATAATAATAATAATAATAATAATAATAATAATAATAATAATAATAATAATAAATACGAAGAACAAGAAGAAAAACAACAACATCAACATGGGTTAAAATAATAGTAACAGTATTTCAAGAGTGAGGTCTTTATATGGTATACAATTACAGACATATAAAAAATATATTACAGATTCTAATAACTATACACGAGACATAAGCCCTTGATAGCAGCTGTACCTTGGAGCCGCTACGAGTTCGAGACCTAGTTAGGACCACCAGCACGTAGTACGGTTGAAAAATAAGGCATTACTTGCCAGCGATAAGCGAGGTGCCCGAGTCTTGTGGAAACTGAAGGCTATGGAACTCTCAAGGCTTAAGAACCATTGTTTATTATGTTTGTACGAGAAGTTGTTGTTGTTATTATTATTATTATTATTATTATTATTATTATTATTATTATTATTATTATCATCATTGTTGTTGTTGTTACTGTTATTATTATTATCATCATCATTGTTGTTGTTGTTCCTGTTATTATTGTTGCTATTATTACTATTATTATTATTATTATTATTATTATTATTATTATTATTATTATCATTATTAGTATTATTATTATTATTATTATTATTATTATTATTATTATTATTATTATTATTATTATTATTATTATTATTATTATGAGTACAGAATTGGTGTACTGTAATACTGTGACCAGAACTGAACTGCGTAATCCAGGTGTGGTCTCACAAGCGCAAGATACAGTTTTAGGATGACCTCGCTAGTCTTGTAACTAACACTCCTTTGTATGAACCCAAGTACTTTATTAGCCTTGTTACGAGCAAAAACACATTGTTTACTTGGCTTAAGGTTCCTACTTATCATTACTCCTAAATCTCTCTCGCAGTCGGATTTCTCTATGGCATCGTTGTTCATCTGGTATCTGGTTTCCCTGTTTACATCTCCTATACTGAGTACTTTACATTTGTCGACGTTGAATTTCATCTGCCATTTTTCAGACCATTCGAAAAATTTGTTTAGATCTTCCTGTAGTTTTGCTGAGTCCTCGTCAGATTTAATAACACGTCCTATTTTAGTGTCATCAGCAAATTTACTTATGTTGCTGTCTATGCCGATATCTATGTCGTTTATGTATATAATAAATAATAATGGTCCAAGCACTGAGCCTTGGGGAACTCCACTTGTGACGTTGCTCCAATGGGACTTAGTGCCGTTAATGCTCACTCGCTGTTTCCTGTCCTGTAACCACGCCCTAATCCATTTAAGGATGTTACCTTTGATGCCATGTGCTTCTACCTTTCTAATTAGTCTTTCGTGGGGGACTCTGTCGAAGGCTTTGCTAAAGTCGAGATATACCACATCATAATTGTGCCCCTCGTCCACCGATTCGAAAACTGATGAAAAGAATGTTAATGGATTAGTTAGACAAGAACGTCCGCTTGTGAAGCCATGCTGGGAATCATTGATCAATCGGTGCAAATGCACTACAGGAGGATTTAAATAAACTGCAGGGGTGGTCTGAAAAATGGCAAATGAAATTCAACACCAGCAAGTGCAGCGTACTTAATATTGGAAGAACAAATACTGTCAATGTATACAGCCTTAACAACATCAACCTAGAGAAGTCGACTTGTGAAAGAGACTTTGGGGGTATTTGTAAGCCCGGATCTATGGCCTAGAAAACAGCGCGTTAATGTTCGAAATAAGGCAAACAGTGTAAGTAATAAGAGTGCAGAGGTCTTACTGCAACTATATCTTGCGCTAGTCAGGCGGTTCAGTTCTGGTGCCCTTATTATATATAGAATGGATATCAATTCACTAGAGTCGGTGCAGCGAAGAATGACGAAAATGATTCCGGGACATAGAAACCTTCCATATCAAGTTAGGTTAAAGAAACTAAACTTGCATTCCCTAGAAAGACGAAGAGTGCGGGGAGATATGATAGAAGTATTTAAGTGGGTGAAAGGAATCAATAAAGGGGATATAGATAAAGTTCTTATAATATCCGAGCAAGATAGGACTCGGAGCAACGGATTTAAGTTGGATAAGTTTAGGTTTAGGAGGGAGATAGGAAGGAACTGGTTCACAAATGGGGTGGTGGCCGAGTGGAACAAGCTTAGCAAATTTGTAGTAAGTGCTGGAACGCTGGAAAGTTTCAAAAGGAGGCTGGATAGATTCATGGATGATAGAGAGTGGTAGTAACTCTCGAC